GCAAAGCTAACATGGACGAATTTTCCATGGGGTAGGCAGTCTGCTCTTTATAAAACAAAATTTTGTTTTCATGATAAAATTGGTAGCGTATTTTGTTGCGTCAATTAAGTAGCTGCGAAAAAATTATTTTCTCTGAAACAACCTGATGAAGAAGCACTTTAAATCCGGAGGATGATGGCTGTTGAATATGACAAGGATATACTTCCAAATAATACTGCTATGGGTCTAGTACTTAATTCTAGTTGGTGTTTTAAGCTTTAGATTATTTATTAGATTTAATAAATTGTACTCATATGATTTAATATGAATTATGGAACTGTTAGATCACCATTAAATCTGTTGGATGATCTGCAATAATATTCTTTTTAAAGGCGGCAAACCGCCTGTTAAAAGGTCGAAGCTGCGACAATGGCACTGCCCCCTTTTCATGAGGGCAAAAATGTTTGATTTTTGGCAGAAGAAAAGTTTTAAGTACACCCATCTGTCGATTTGCGAAATTCTCAGCAGAGGCAACCATGATAAGTTGATTGCATAGATTTCCTTCTGTTTCTGTTTGTTCGCCGCACAGTGATCTGTTCCAGAATGGTCTAACTTTTCTAAGTTTCTAGCGTTTCGTGCATTCTGCTTCTATTAAGTTAAATGAAATATTGTTCGGCCTTATGCTAAGCAGTGCATTCCCATATTCTGTTCTTCAAAATCTTTCTTTTCTCCAAAATGGACCTATGTGGATCATGTGACTAACTCTTTTGGAAAATGTTGTAAGTTTCGTTATACTTTGTTTTAATGGTCTTTTAGATCAAGTTCGACCCATGGTTATTTTGGCGCCGTTAAGAATCCTTGGACGCTGAAGCTTTGGTATGGAGACAAACAGTTACAATCGAAACTGAAAAGCGACTGGTTAATATCTGGCGGAAGTTCAGGCGGAAGTGCTGCAGCAGTGGCAGCAAATATCGTAAGAATGTAAGTGTTGAGATGGTGGACTAAATCTTGCATGAACACTCATCAGTGGTGGCCGGATCAACCAGGTTGTTTGCCTGATAGGACTATTATTTCCTGCTGAAGATACCCATACCCAGAGTAGAGGCATTCCTTACATTATCCAGCCGTTTAACTTTCATTACAGATTTGTTTTATGGTAGTATATTACAGCTTTATTGTTAATTTGTGCATACACATTTTGCACAATTTGTACACAAGCCTTGCTATGTTTTCCTCTTGGCCGTTTAAGTGATAAGCGATGCTAGCTTAGACAT